AATTGCTATCCCATTTGCTTTGATTATTTTTTGCGCATTGATCGCGAGTTGGAAAGCGGTCATGTTCAATTTTGTAATAACACCAGGTTCAGTGCTAATGAAACGAGTTTGTACAAGAGAGCTAACGCCAGGTGCGTGGCCTCTATTCCGCCCGAGTCGTGTCTTTATACCCCACTTCAGGCCACATCGTATACCGTTGGATCTAATCTGTCGTACACCATGATCAATTTAATACCCAATAATTATATTGAGCCTGAGATTATTGAGCAGTTTTCTATTGATATACACGATATAATATATAACATCGGGGGCACAATAGGCATGTGGGTCGGCGTGTCTATGATCTCGTTCAGTGATATTCCCACAGCTATTTACTTATTGCTAAAATGGGTTTCAAATTATATTTTAAAAATATAAAATAGTCAATAACATAACTTTAAAAATAATGTACTGGATATTATTGCAAAATGGTTAAAAAAAATTATTAATTAAATTACTATATATTTAATTACTAAGCTTTCTATAACATTAACTTAAGGTAAATCTTTAGATTAATCTAAAACATATTTCTCAAACAGACTTTACATGTTTTGTTAAAGAAATCAATAAAACATTAGTTATACATTAGTATTTACAAATATTTTTAATTAAAATGCAATATAAATTATTTTAGAGATATTGTTAACAGCAATTTATAAATGTCAAATTCAGTATAATATTTTATGAAATATATTATTATAATAAATGTGTCTGGCACAACACGTTTATAAGATGTGAATATGATATAATTATTAATAATTTGTTTATTTTTACGAACTAATTATGTTGTTACAACATTTGTGTATTAATCAATTAATGGTTACTATTATACATCTGACATTGTATAATAGACATATAATATTATTGTAAAATTACATTAGAATAGATAATATTTATAAGTTTTGTAAAATAATTTTTAAACATAGATAAAAACTAACATTAATTAATAAATAAAATTCTTTCTTTGAAAATTAAACAATTGATATAATAATTAAATAGAAGTTAGCAAGAATATTTGTAATCATTACGATATGTTGTAACATTATTGAATGACAAATGAATTTGTATATTAAATATTAATTATAAATTAACAATAAATTAACAATATAATAATAAATTATTTACAGACTTTAATTATACTATTGTTGTAATATAATTATCATAATTATTGTCTATATAATTTTACATGATTAAAATGTAAAAATATAATAATATTATAATTGTAATAGTAGTAATTTTGTGATACTTAGCACTCCTGTGCTTCTTGAAATATAATAAATAAATATGGCTTGATTGATTAAATGTGTGAATCCTTGTATATATACTTACAAATATAATTTGAAATAAATTTCAACAGTAAGTAAAAGGCTGTGGGAATGTCACCGAACGAGATCATAGATACACCGACCCACATGCCTATTGTGCCTCCGATGTTATATATAATTTCGTATACATCCATAGCTAACTCCTCGGTAATTTGGGGCTCAATATAATTATTGGGTATCAAATTGATCATGGTGTACGACAGGTTAGATCTCACGGTAAACGATGTGGCCTGTATTGGTGTATACAGACACGATTCGGCCGGAGCTGATGCTAGGCAACGGGCGTTGGCTACATTGTAGAGCTTTGTCTTATTAGCATTGGCCATGGTGTAATTGCAAAACCGATCATGACCACTTTCCAACTCCTCATCTATACTAACATAATAATTGTATAAAATAGGATAGCATTTGTCGATAGCAAACAGGGCTCGAGTCAGACATGATTTGGGCCGTGGGTCTGACCTCCCGACTACCGGTACGCCCCGACTGTTGTCTATGCAGTTAAACCCCTTACGGGCCAGTCGTCGATGAGTTTGCGTTGTGTACGTAATGTGTGTGTCGGCGCCCACATCCAGGAGCATACGGTGTAGCGCGTGATTTGTCATTAGATGTAAGTCCATAAACCACACCCTATTGTTACAAAACTTGATGACCACTCGGCGCGGGTAAGACCCGGTGCGGTCGGAATCAATGTTGTTAGCCATGAATGCCGGTAATATGCGCTCAAAAAATAAGTTAGTAATACGTACGACCGATTTGGGTACGAAATAAAAACGCCTGTTCGCCGGCGGACAGTCAACCCTCTGCCCGGCGTTGAGCTCAACGTAGCATTCAATCAACGAGTTATTATAGTCGTAAATGTGGTGCCGGAAGTCGTCCAATCGGTTGGCGGCCAACACGCGGACAAACGCCGGTGGTTTAGCCCGGAAGTCCGATTGGCGGGGTATGACCGACACTATAAACGTAGGCACCCGTATGTTTGCGCTCAACGTTATGCTGAACTTAACGTTATCGTCCCGATAGCTATCGTACAGGTCTTTGAGCTGTACAGTCATTAAACCGATGCACACGACGAGTGCCACTGATTTCACGTATTTTATGCACCGTTTGGTCGTTGCGTTGCGTTTAAACCGGGCTTTAAGTACCCCTCGACGCCAGATATACACGCATTGGGCAAACACTAGACCGATGGCTGAGTAGACACTCAAACCGGTATACATTCCCATTAGACCCCCGATTGAGGACAGGTACGCAATTGTGTCCATTTTGGGACATAGTTTCCAATTCATACTCAATTTAATGTTATATAAACTAGTGATGTACATATAATTAATTGTTTTAAACGTGGTTGCGGTATCATCCTTGTCCACAATCCAAGTGTGACAATCTATCCGACACTCCCTATTTAGGCGCCGATAGTCTGGTCTAACGAAACAATCGGTGCCACGACTGCCGTTCAGGTTTGCAGGACTCGTATTAGTAAACATGTGTTGACTCCAGTAGTGATTGTGTTGGCATTTGTAGCGCTCGAGCCGTGCCATCGCATCGACCATACATCTGGTCCGGGATGCGGGCCCTTCCGCGCCTATCACAGCCGACCCGTAGTCCACACAATCCGTACTGTAAGGCCAGGGCAGCGATGTCTGTTGTATGACATTAAAACTCACGTCATAAAGGTTTTGGTCCATTGTGATAGTGGTCAGTTTGTTAAAATGAGACAGCTCGTTATAAGGCGTAAACGATATTTGAGCCCGGTCTACCATGCCTACCGCCACGTTCAAACCCACCACATTGGCAATGGACGACTCGTTCGCCCGGCCGTACGCGTCGGTAATGCATACCCGGCTTTCGGGTTGGTATCTGATTTGGCGCGGGAACACTTTGTGACACTCTAGTAGTTTAGTATTGGCCTTACGTAGTATGCATTGTATGTTGGCCTCACTCCACACTGATAACCACGTTGTGTTTTGCCCGTCAAAATGTTTGAGGTTTAAACATATTGTGATCGATGGCCTGAATAGCGATTGTCCAACGTTTTTGTCAAATACTAAATCATTAAATACTTTATACCGTAAATAATTGACGGTTTCATCGCATATTTGATACGTGAATAGCAATAGAAATGTGTATTTAATTAATGGTTTGGATATTACATTCTCGATATATTTAGTGATCATATTTATCACCGCATTTACACATTTACATGTATATAACATTATTTCAGTTATTAGTAATTATTAGCGTTTTAAATACAATTATTTTTTAATTTATATTATTTTAAGAAAAAATAACATTTAGTGTTTTGCACTTTTCTAAAATTAATAAATGCTACATTATGTATCGTTATACATATTAAGTATTTATATTCTTTTAAAATATACAATGTTATCTATTCAATAAGTTGTGCCTGGCACTCTACAGTATATCATGTATATCATATATTATTAACAGTAATTATTCTATTCATTATTTTAATTATTATTTATAATTATATATTTAATTTATTTCTTTTGAATTGATATATGAGTTTTAATTCATATAATGTATACGTTTTTCAGATTAATATTTTAACATAATAGCCGATAGGATGATCAGAAGCTCCGGATTGCCAGTTGCCTTATTTGAGCATTATTTAAGTTTACTGTAAATTTTATATTAATTATAATGTGGTTTATTAAAATTATAATAATTAAATAATTTTATACATTTATTACTGTATTTAGCACTGTCAAAATTAATAATTAAAAATATTTTTATAAATAGTTTGTTTTATTCTAACTGTAATATTTAGTACTGTATTATTAAAAGCACTATTATACACTAACGTAAAATAAAATTTAATAATATAAAAAATAAATAAAATAAATGCTATATTATCTATCTCTAGGTAATAAATAAAATAATTTTATATTAAGTTAACCAGTTATCCATGTTATTCATACATCAGTTTCTACGATATTATCAATATAAACGTTATACTGTATTAATTGGTATTTCAATCGTCATAGAATTTATTGCGTTATATAAATGTACAGTAAATATAACTAAAATAAATCGGTTATGATATCATATCGTAAACAATCTATATCAGTATTAAAATATTTAAGATACAACACCAACGTCAGTTTTTAAGCCACAAATAAATTGTTTAATAAAGTAAAAATTTATTTTTCTAACTTACCTTGACATGCCAATATCCAAACTCTACATGATCATAAATTGCAAAGAGAATAATTATTTTTGCACATTCATGATTAAGTACTAATAACCTTTAAAAGATCCTGGTTGCTTCAAACCCAATGCGATTGAATGCTTTACAATTAAACGATAAGGTTGTTTAGCATTATATACTCCACATATCTTAATAAAACACTTGAAATTTATAATATAGTTTATGCGTTATCATTGCCAAAGAGTGAAATGTTTGTCTTTAATATTAATATTTTAAAATAATATTATTTTAATAATTTATTATATGGTTTATGTGTGTTAATTATTTTACCTTAACTGTTTTATTCTAAATAATTAACTGTGAGCTAAACAATTAATATAATATGAATTAACCATATAGTTAAGTAATAAAATAAATTAATTAAAGCATCTTTTAATAGTTATAAAAAATTATTGCAATAAAATAATATAAATTGTAATATGGCTGATAAATTTGATAACTGCATTCATCCGGATAATGTACAAACAACCAATATAAATCTCGGTCAAAATACAATCGCCGACGAGCAAGCTTATTTCTCTGAAACTTGTGTACCTGTGTTCAAATGTATACCATTACCATGGAAATCAATAGATAATGATAATGACCAACATAAATCATTGTCAGATATAACTGATCCAATGCTAACAGACACGCATAAAGTCAGTGATAATAATGACAACAACAACAACAATGATGATGATAATAAATGTTGCGCTGAAACAATTAGTGATGGTGAAACTGACGACACCGTGTATGTCACCGACGATCAGTTGACAAAATATACGGCAATCTTAATAGACAACTACGCGACCGAAGTCCAGGAGTGTGTAGACCGGGAAACCACGGATATAATCCACGCCTTACAAGAGGCTCGTATTGGGGCGCAAACTAAATGCATGGATGAGTTTAGCGGTGAGTTCGCCGATAGTAAGCCCGCAGACCTGGTGGACAAGTATAGGCATAGGTTGGAAATGTCGGTGTGCGAGCAAAATGTCACGTTTGAAACACTGTGTAAGGCTAGGGTTGCCAACGGAGACCAATTGGTAGACGAGTTGAGCGAAAAGTTTACGCATTTATTGCACAGGAAATTGGATGACAATTTTTTGGTAAATATAAAGGTAGAAATTTTTGGCCAATTTTATTACGATATTTTTGAAGAAATTATGCAAATGTTTGACAACCGATCGGAGAGTTTGAAAAGTTTGCGACAATTTTACGGACAAATTTTGCGACAGTTTATGACCGAACAGAAAGAGTTGTACACGTATTTCAACGACATTTACGGCCGGTTCACCGCTAAATGCGAATACCTGTGCGCTAGCGATCAGTATTGTATCGATGGTAACCAATTGGCAGAGTATTTACTTAAACGACAAACAGTTATCGACTTATTTCAAGAGGATTACTATTTGTGCGAAAAATTCGGCGAATTGACCGCAACAGCGGTCGACGAATATAAGCAAAAAATTGCTGAAATAAACACCAAAAACGCTAAATACGTACAAAACTACATACAAATGGGTAAACAAGTGTACGAAAAACAAATGAGTAATTTACTCAAAAGCGGTACATTTTCCGACGAAACATTCCGGGAACAGCACAACGCTCTACTCGATAACATCTGGGTTAAAATGGCATACAAATTATCGACCAAACAAATCAAACAATCCGTAATCAGGGAATGCAAACAACAGCTTGAGCTAAGCATGGAGCCAGTGTACCATGCTCAATTGGCGCTAAACCAGCAAATACACGAACTTATTAACAATCTAATGACCGAAATGCTATACAAACTGCACGAACAGTACTGTCAACAATTTGCGGCTAGATTATCGCAAACACCCTACCTAGATCGTTGCAATTTTAACCAAGTTCACACCGATCTGGTCAGCCAATTGTGGCCCCGACTCGAGTCGATCGTATTCGACCAGAAGACTCGTTTCACCGACAAGTATTTGTGGGAAATATTGGGCCTGAATAGGGTCAACATCGAGCTCAACGTAGATGAAGCGAAAGAAAAATACTGGGCCCTCAACGAGCGTAAACGAAACAAATCCAACTCGCTAATCGTGTCGTTCGCGGACACCCCTACCGGCGCCTACTATGACCGACCGGCGGGCGCCATATTGAACGTGTTGGACGCGCACAACACGGGCCGATTGGCCACCAATAGCCTGGCCTTTGACGGCAAACGTATACTGTATGGCGCGGAGGCCGAGCGCTACCTTAATGGCGCCAAATCGCACATCATTGACATAATGGGTAGGGATGTGAGCGACGACGAGCTGTATAACTACGAGTTCCGGTTTGTGGATAAAAATCACCTCAAAATCCGACTAATATATGGCGACGAAGCGAACACTAGCCTAGAGTTGAACGTTGAGTCACTGTTGGCGCTGCAAACGATCGAGATGAAAACGGCGGCCGAGAGGCAATTTGATTCGCCCATGTTAAACACCCTGTTTGTTGTGCCCACCGGGTATACAATTAGGCAACTGAACGCGGTCAGGGACTCGGCCACTATAGCCGGCATTGAGCATGCACATTTTATTACCGAGATGTCTGCGGCGGCTATTGATTTTGGTTTCAATACTAGTAATTACGACCGAAATCTCGCCTATCGTGAAGTGCTTATAGTTATATTCGCACGTAATATATGTGAGTTAGCTCTGGTCGAGTATATCGACGATGGTATGCGCTATAAAGCGTATAAATGTGTGCCCATTACCGGCCAAACACCAAACGAAATGTACAATTTTGTTAACAAAAAATTGCCAACTTGGTTGGCCAGTTTGTTTAAATACGTTAAATATAGCAAGGTGTTTGATGGTTTAGTCATTGGTATGTTTTACATTTAATTATATGAATTAATAGAATAATAATTATAATTTATAATTTCTATCCAGGTGACTATCAAATAGCGTCGAAAATTAATTTCGAAAAACTGCCCAAAAAGTATTGCACCAGGATCACTTTCAATTGCGTGATGTCGGCCATTATAACGAGGGGTGCCGTGTTTTACAGCGACCACTACGAGACCCATCGTAAGCCCATTCCCATCAGTGGTGTGTATTTGCGGGACATTATGTGTTGTATTGTGTTTAATGACAACATTAAATACATGGACACTTTGGTCCGGGCAAATGAAACACCCGGCACGTGCTGTTACCAGAAATTTAAACTGCCTAGCACGTGCAAATTACCAATATTTATTTTTATTATGGACGGCCCCGAGACTGTGATTAAACAGTATATTATTCACGAATTAAATAAACATGTTAACCTCGGCGAAGACCTCTATCTGTTCATTACCATGTGCAGCGATACCTACTTTGCTACCAATTACGAGTTTACCATACATGGTAAAATTGCGCCCAAGTACATATCGAACGTACCCAATGAGATTATGACCGAGGTGCATTATAATTTGACGCAGGAACAGTTGGGCGAGCAAAAGGCCCTAGTGGCTAAACTTCGAGAAACCGACGATTTAATAAATTGGCCTCTGAATAACAATCTGGTAATAAATGACGATGATGAAATAACTGATTATGTGTGCAATTATTATACGAGCGTAAAATACATAAAAGCAAATGTCCCTAATGTTAGTGATTCGATGGAAATTACACCAATTAACGAGTGCAAGGAGATTATCGCCCGGGAACCGATCGTGGTCAGCGCCGATTACCTAGACACATTTATAAATAAACTAGCCGATTCGTATACAGAGCAAATTTTGACCATGATGGATTCCGATAAATTTGTCGCACGTGATTATTACAAAAAATGTAGAAAGGTTCGAGATAAAATTCTAAAGCAATACTATAATGAGCTGTACGACAAAGACCCGGCTCAATTGATCGATAATTTTAAATCAAACTTGATCGCATTAATGGACAATAAGGTGAAACAGTTGTTAACGGAAAATACCGATAGTTATACAAAATTAATTGACAAGTGTGTAGAAGAGTTTCATACAAAAATGAGCATGGCCATCGCGACTGATTGGCAGTTAAACCAACCTGATATAAATACTTTTTATCGTATATTTAACCAAGTTGACAACGAAATTATAGCCATATTCAATGAACTCTCGGCCGATTTAGTCAACGAAAGTCAAAAGCAAAAGTTTATGTCACAATTGGACGAAATAATTACAGAATCGGCCGTAAAATACAAACACGTATTCAATGGCGGCCCACAAACACTAACTGACACAGATATAAGCGACAATGAACACCGGGGTAATACCGGAGAGGGACCGGGACTGACATTGTCGGACACTAGTAAGACGGCGTGTCGTTTAAAGCGAAAGTGCTCGAGTGTTTGTAGGAAAGGTGAATCAAAACAAAAATTGGACACTGTTAATCCGACCACAATTGAACAGGTTTTAAATACACTTCAACCCGACACGGTCAATTACGTGGGCGCAGTTAATACACACGTTACCGATCTAGATCAGCCAATGAATGAGATGCAACCAATAGCTAGTGTGGCCGCAAAATTAGCCCATACTAGCGTTGTGACTGTCCATTCGCACAAAGTGGTCGCCCAGGCTAAACACCATCAAGCTGCTAACGTTGTTGCCAATGACCATGATGGTAATTTTATTAGCACAGCTGTGATCGATGAGTTCACCCGATTCGCTGCCGGCATTCGCGACCGTTTAGATCTACACAATGTGTTTCATACGAAAAAGTCACGCATTTTAGACCAATTGAAAATTTCCGAGACTATTGTCAGGTCTGATACGAATCGGTTTGACGAACAAAAAGGTGAAATACTGGCTATGATTAAGAAGTTGAAGCTAAGCGCCAAACTTATCACGGTGTAAGTATTGCCTAAGTCCATAATTAAATGTTGTTTAAATATAATTAATTATATTTTTATTTTTGTTTATTTTCAAAAAGTAATATAAATTAAACAAGTATGTTTTTGTTATTTCTACTTATTATAAAGTGATTATGGTATTATTTATGTTATTTAATTATTTAATCAGTTGCTATTTAATTTATTGTGTTAATTATAATGTTTAATTTACATTTAACCATGTATTTAAACTTTGAATGTATGTACTTTATTTTATTAAATATGTAATATTTTAATAAAATTAATCAGACATTGAAATAAAAATCTATTTTAAATTAAAACTCTCATTATTCATAATTAATAATTAAGTAATTATTAATTAATTAAGTAATTATTAATTATAAATAAATATCTAACAAAACCAAATATTGTTCTTAACAATAGCTAAAACTCATAATAATTAAGTTCACAAATAAAATAACTATAATTGGCTAATGCTATAAAATAATTAAAACAAAAAATAGTTAAAAATAAATTTAAAAAAGCTAAAAAAAAGTGTACGGCACCGGGTATTCCATACACTGTAAGTAAATCTAACCAAAAGTACTCTGGTTCAAACTTTGTATTTTTTAAAATAAATATTTATCATGCAAATAATTAGTTTCTACACGTAAGGCATTTTCAAATAAACGTATAATTAATTAAATAGTAAATATTTTCGTGATTTATTAAATTAGATCTTATTGATTTTTTTTATTGTTTTCGTTTTCAGATTGTGAATTAATTTTTTCAAAATATTATGCTATACCATAACAAGTTATTAATTCAAAAGTACCTCATAATTAAAAATCACATTAAACTCATAATTAATAAAACTCACGTTAAGATTTATATAGTTAATAATTTGTTCACCTGTATTAATTTATTTTACTGTTATTGTTGCGAAAGTCATAATTATAATTCAAAATAAATGAATTAATAATGATTCAAATGATAAAACTTATCAGTAAAGTAAACATAGTAAACAAAATTAAATCAAAAATGTCCTCGCTGGTTAACATACTGGAGGCCAGAAAACGGCAAATAAATAGTTACATAACTAACGGTATTTATGAAATGAGCGCGATCAAATCACTGGAGCACAGTCTCGGCAAATACAACGTGCTAATATCACCAACATTCGCTCACTACGTCAATCACCAAGTACCAAAACACAGACTTTACAAGCAAATGGCACTCAATCTATTGGACTTGTTTATGATAATCAGGTACACAGCGCTGGCCATTGTTAACGAGCCCTGGATGTGGTCAATAATGGGCGATTCGTTTTACTCGTGGGGCTCAGGACGGGCCATGTATGCTATGATGGCTTGTTTTTGTTGCACAGTATACGGGTGCCGCACATCAATCACCATGCACGAATTGGATGGTAAACTCGAGTGCATACCACTGATAAGCGGGGTGAAAGTTGATAACAGAAATCAACAAGATACGTTAAATGTGAAATATTTTACCAAGTACTGTTTGAAAGTAAAATTTTACACCAAACTCATCACACCGGGAGTCGTGTGCGGTGTCGTACCTTCCATAGCGGCTCACGTGATCACATCGATCATGTGCTATAAGGGTTGGTACGGCGTGACTGACCATTCGCTGTTTTCGCTAGTGTTAGCTAACTTATCGTTGACCCTATGGATGACAAACGCAACGTACATGGGTTTTGGTTACGCGTTTGTCCTACACGTGTTGATCATTGGTTACATGAAGTATATATTCAGGCAAATCAACGACTCCCTGGCCATCGGCACCCGTTATGGCAACGCTTTACTAGTGAGGGAAGCGATTGCTCGACACCAGAAGTGGACTGTAGTGGTGGAAAAGTGTAACCTTAACCTATCATTGATTGTAGGATTTTGTTATTTCTGTTGCACACCGGCTATGGATGTATTGCTGCACTTGTCGTTTAGACCGGGTATACACCCCTTGATTAGGGCCGTATATATCACGGCAGGTGTTGGCATATTTTTTGCCCAAATAGGCATTAACTTTATGTGTACATCATTTACCACGACTGTTCACCGGCCCACTGGCTTAATGCACAGGTATCTGATCAGTGGACATAAAATGTCAAATACAACCAGGTGCAAAATTGCCGACTTTATTGAAAAACTTTATGGTAAACCCATAGGGTTTTATTGTTTCAATCTATTTGTCTGCACTCATTATTCTTTCTATAAATACGTAACTTTTTTGTAACTAATTATGTTTTAATGAAATCATTTGCCAATAATTTCTAAATTTTTGATTAATGTAAATAATTAACTGTTTTATTAACAATTTTTTAACTCTTAAAATTTATATTAATGTAATGTATACTACAGTATGCAGTATAATGTATAAGTTACCTATTATTAATACAGTATAAATCAATATTAAAATTGCAGTTGCCTGTAAAGCAGATAACAAACAATACAATAATATTCTGCAAGATTAATTATCTAAGTGAATTTTAAGAAAGTGCTTTAGGAAAAATGTGTTGTATAATAACCATATATCATGAATATCTTTACATAATTATTTTATTCACGAAACTTAGCTAAAATTGTAAGCTTACTAAAAAATATTATTATGCTATAATGACTTGTTTTTTCCGTATGTAATCTAATATTATTTCTAATATTTAAAAAACCACTTTTAAGTAAAGTAAATCAACTTTGTACTAAAAATGCTTATTATATAAGTAACTTTATTTTGGAATATATTGTAAATAATTTCACACTTTAACAAAGTAAAACATTTTATAATTTGTTTACTTGTAAAAATTAATTTTTAAAAATTTTTATTGCAAAATTAATACAATAATTAAAATTAATAACTAAAAATATTTACAATGGTGAATTTATATGACATAGTAAATTCACAAATACCATCAGTCGTTGGCAAACTAGAAACTAGAAAGCTGCAAATAATAAATTATTTCACCTATGCTATTTATGAGCTGAGCGCAATTAATTCACTTGAGAAAATTTTGGCCAGATTTAATGTACTAATTTCACCAACATTTGCCCAGTACGAGAATCACCAAGTACCAAAAGCTAGACTATACAAACAAATGGCACTCAACCTATTGAACTTGTCTATGATCTTAAAATACACAGCACTTGCCTTTGTTAACGAGCCCTGGATGTGGTCATTAATGGGCGACTCGTTTTACTCGTGGGGCTCCGGGAGAGCTATTTATACCATGTTTGCAATTTTTAGTTGCACAATATACGGGTGTCAAACATCGATTACTGTACACGAGTTGAGCGGCAAACTTGAATGCATTAAACTAATGAACATGTTAAAAGTAAGTGGCAAAAAGCAACAAACTAGTTTATGTTTAAAATTTTACACCAGGTACTGTTTGAAAGTAAAATTTTACATCAAAATCATCACACCTAGTGTGATATGCTGTGTTACACCTTCAATAACTGCCCACGCGATCACGTCGATCATGTGCTACCAGGGTCGCTACGGTGTGGCGGACCACTCGCTAATTTTTCTAACCCTATCTAACATAACGCTCGCCGTATGGATTATAAACGCCACATACATGGGCTTTGCCTATGCATTTGCGCTGCAGGTTTTGACCGTTGGTTACATGAGGTATATATTCAGGCAAATCAACGACTCTCTGACCGTTGCCACCCGTTTCGGACGTAATATAGTTGTCCTAAAAGCCATCGCACGGCACCAGAAGTGGACAGTTGTGGTCGAAAAGTGTAATAAGAATTTGTCATTTATTATAGGGTTTTGTTACTTTTGTTGCACACCAGCTATGGATGTGTTGCTATGATTCTATGACATTTTTTCGAAAGACATTTTTTCGAAAGACGTTTTTTCGAAAGACATTTTTTCGAAACTAATTTTTCGAAAGACATTTTTTCGAAAAAATTAATTTAAATTAAAAAATTAACTAG